AATCCTAATGTGAGGAGGGCAGGTTTGGCGCAGGTGGGACCGGAATCGATAGACTTTCCCCTCGAAATTACACCGTTCGCTTCCCCGTCAATGTCGAATTATTTCTCAGCGCTACTTATTAAGCAAGTCAGTGTCAACGCGCTAGATTTCAGTCATATGTCATTGCTTGCTGCGCGCGCTTCTAGCTCTCAGCCTCGCGTCCCTCAGGCCAAACCTATGCGAGCATGCGAACGTGGTGTGTGGTGTGTGTGTGTGTGTGTGTGTGTGTGTGTGTGTGTGTGTGTGTGTGTGTGTGTGTGTGTGTGTGTGTGTGTGTGTGCGTGCTTGTGTGTGTGTATCGTGTGCATACATGTGTGCGCATGTGTGTGTGTGCGTGTATGTGCATGCGTGCGTGCGTGTGTGCGTGCATGTGTGAGTGTATATGCGCGTGGGATAAAGTGTACGCGTGGATGTGCGTGTGCGAGTGCGCGTATGCCTGCGTGCGCGTACGTGTGCGTGTGCGTGTGCCTGTGCGCGTATGGTATCTACATGGTAGCGCGCTAGAAACTGCCCCTCTGGCTCGTCACAGTTTCTCATCGACCTGTCACCACCATCCATCCATATTAATCTCGTGCGCCTTTCAGCGCCTCCTGCCTTTATCTCCAGTCGCGCAGCCCCCATAGGGATAGTAGATTGTAGCCTGTCTGCGGGCAAAGAGCTCATGCGGTGGACACAGCGAGGACTAGATAGAATCCAAAGCTCTTGTTTGTTGGCGGGCTTTTGTGGGACCGTTGAATGGGTGACTGGCACGCGTTCGGTGATCGTACCCTACGGTACGGAAGACTGTAGAACTTTTGACAACACGTTGCACAGCACAGACAAGCAGAACACCTAGAAATGATTGGTTTTCAATATAATAAATCGGTGTAACGGTGTAATAAATATATTATTAATACTAATAATACTCTGAGTATGAGTAAGTATAATATTGTAAGTCATAAAATAGCTAATATGTGATATTATGAGCGTATAAAACGCACACGAGCGAAATGACGTATATTAAATTGCCCCAGTGAGAACTACGCTAGAGTAAGGCTACCTACAACGGTTCAGTTATTTATGATCATATATCACATAGTTATTTCTAGCTGCTACACCGCCTGGCCGCCCCTCCATTGACCTACCTGCTTGGTATGTTTGACAGGAACTAAATACGGTTGCCATAATATGGAAAGCATTTTGTACCAAAAAGCATAAAACCTAGTTTTAGACCTTAAAACCGGGTTTTAAGATCTTAAAACCGGGGTTTAAGGTCTAAAACCAGGTTTTATGCCTTAAAACGAGGTATTAGGAGCTTAAAACCCGGTTTTAAGGTCTAAAACTAGGTTTTATGCTTTTTGGTACAAAATGCTTTCCATACGATAACACGTTCTAAAAGACAATGCTTGGCAATGAAGTGTCGTACGGACGGCAATTGAGTGCGCATACGTAAAAATCGCGTACAAACATTGCCAACATCGATAAGTTTATCTGTGTTTTCTAACGCGTGCACGCCAATTTTTTTCAACTGTGGAATGTTTTTAGAACGCCCTCATCGCAACGCTGATTGATTACCTGTTAATCATCCCAGGCAGATAGGTGAACTATGCGCTACCAGGTATATCGCTATTCTACCCATGATGTTCTCTTACACGCCTGTGCTTTTCATCAGCCTTCCACGGACCTGCCGCTCGTCAATACTGAAGCTGACCCGAGCCGTGGCCTCAATCGGACATGCGCTGTCGCCCTATAGAATCTAGAGAAAATAAAAATAAAAGCTAATAAACGTAAATAACCGTATGATATCAATAATGTGATCAGTAATACCGTCATGTGGTCAGTCATCCGTGAGATCTATCCTTCGTCTTAGACCCCCCCCCCCGCCGAATTATGCACGTTGAATAGGAGCTGCGCCCTATTCCATCTTTGCTACGCGGCTGCGTTACAAAAAATCCCCCCCCCCAACACCACAATGCTCTAGGAATTTGCTCAGGCTACGGCCATAGTAATGCTATACTATACAGCTGTTGTCGCGAATCTCACATGTCATATAATTTATCCGACATTTCTGTTGCTAAAGGAAATGAAGATCCAGTGAACAACGCCAGCGAGTTCATTACGCAATTGTTTTTTGTAAGTATTTGACACTTACACGTCCTAATGGCAAGATGAAGGTGTATTTGTGTGTGTGTGCGCGTGCGCGCGCGCGCGCGTGTGTGTGTGTGTGTGTGTGTGTCTGTGTCTGTGTCTGTCTGTGTGTGTGTGTGTGTGTGTGTGT